TGAACATGGCACCCTGTTTACGAAGTCTCCAAGAAGAACTGTAGGACGGGCCAAGGAGACAGGCAGCATGCCAATCGATGAAACTTTTAGAAAAAGGGGGTTGCAGTCACACGCACAGCGCAGCTTTTTTCTGCAAAGGTCTGCCAGGTCTGCGGGGCGTCTGCGGCTGCTGTGGTGCTGCTGGCGCCGGCGCAGGCATCATCATCAAATTTCCAATGGCCGATAGGATTTGCCCGAACGCGTAGTGGGGGCAGCGAGGGCGTTTGTGGCCGGAAGCTGTGTGCGCCGCACAGCGGCACGGCAGAAAGCCGGTTCATCGTGTCGTGGTAGGAACGTCCACGACCGACGTCGCGGGGCCAAAAAGAAACGGCCGGGTCCGAGCGACGCATGTTTGGTCCAAGTGGCATGGGGAACTTCTAGCACGAGACCGCAGGGCATGGCTGGAAGTAGGTATGGAGGGAGATCGGGATCGGCTGACGGAGGGCTCTGACCAGGTTGCCAGACCACTTGAACGAAGCGAACACGGCAGCCACGAGTGAGGCAAATGGGAGGTTCTGCACAAAGGGGTTCTTCCAAAATGAGCTCGCAGCCGGGCCATAAGAAGAGATGGGAGGGCAAATTCTTCGTCGTAGCAGTATTATGGACGGCCAGGCAGCGTCGGAGAAAAGCTGGGTCCGAGTTGCATCCGTGGTCTTCGCGGTGAAGCCTGTCGGCCGCGGGGAGAACCCAGAGACGGTGGCCAGCCATGCGAGCGAGGACGTGCGCGCGGTGCAGAGTGAGGAGCGCGCGCAGGGAATGACGCAAGACACCAACGGCGGCAGACGGGGAAGCGAAAAGAGGCGCGGTCAACCGAGGATCCTGTTCAGTGATGAGGCGGCGCCGCAGGAGTTGCCAGCTGCGATCAGAAAAACCGAGAGAGGAGGACCGGAGGTCGTGGAGGATGTCTTGCAGGGGGCCCTGGCAACGGTGGCTGTAATCGAGGAGAATACAAAAGGGAAAATCCAACCAGAGAGCACGGCCGCGCTGCGCAGAAGCGTGGGCAGCACGCCAGCGCCGACGCTCCTCGAGAGGAAGGGCAGCGGGAGGTTCCACGGCATTGGCGAGGCTGGTGGCGCGGACGGGAGGCAGTTGGTGAAAGTCGCCAGTACAGTGCACGCTGAGGCCTCCCCACGGCAAGGTGGGGACATCTTTCAATTGGCATGTTTCGCATTTCCGCGACGTCGAGCAGCTCACATGGGATCATAGAGATTTCATCGAGAAGAAGAGAGCGAAGGGGAAGCCATTCAGATAAGAGCTCCTCTTTGCGCGGGCCCAAAGACTTTTTTTCGAGGTGAGAGGCTCGAGGGGAATGCAGAGGGCGGAATGCAGTGCGCGGCCGCCAATGAGGCGGGCAGCCGTATGCATGGGAGCGCAAATGCGTGATGCCCCCGGCAGGTACAGGTCATTGAGAGCCGACAAGAGCCGCAACACGTAGGATTTGCCAGTGCCGGGTCCACCGAGCAGAACAGATCGCTGACAGGGAACCGGGCGGGTGCTGAAGGAACGGCGATGGGCAAGGATATCGTGCAGCCAGAGGGCATGGAGGATGAGCATCGCAGCTTGCTTGAGATTTAATTGCCCGTCAGCTTGGTTGCAGCGACCGGAGTCCAGCCAGGAGCGCACCGTGTCTAGGACGGCAGAAGGGGCGGAAAGATGAGTTGGAAAGGACGAAGTGGGGGCGTCGGGCAGGGGCAAGACCGCAGCCCAGTCGGTTTCCGAGTCAAGGAGGTGTTGTGCGAGGTGGGGTGGCAGTGGGCATGGAGACGGTGCAGCAGAAGCCTGGGAGGCAGACGTTGGAAAACGATAGTTGGCATGGGAGATAAAGTGACTTCGGAAAGAATCGGGTCCGGACAAAACACCTAGGGCAGAATCCAAAACATCTTGCCAGGAAAGGGTGACCGTGCTCAGGTCTGCGTCGATGGGAGACGGCGGGTCGTGGGCAGCGGTGTCTGTGGGAGAGAACGTGGGGGAGGCGTCGTCGTCGGACGGAAGTGCCGAGCGGGGGCTGCCAGGTTCCGGCGCAGGTGCGACACCGGGGAGCTCGATGGACCCGGGGAGGCCGGCGGCAGCATCGGGATTGACGCGGACAGCCTTTTGGTTGGCATCTGCAGCGGGCGCAGCAGTGGTGTTGCGCAAGTTCTGCAGGAGGTCGACACTGCGTTCCGCCCAGTAGCGCGCAGAGAAGGGCGGTGGGCGGCGTGCGGCGTCCTTGCGGGGACTGCGCGCCGCCAGCGCGAGCTCGAAATCGTCCAAGGCAGCGGGCCAAGAAGGCAGAGCTTGCGGGGAGTCTGACGCCAACGGCTGCAGAAGATCGCGCAAAGTGGGCTCGCGCCAAGGTTTCGCAAGAAGAAGCGCGAGACGCGCAAAGGCGACAGCATCGAGCGCGGGATCAGGCAAAGAAGCGCCAGCGACAACGGGCACGGACCAAGCCGTGTGGAGAGAAACCACTTGGACGTGGGATGCTGACAAGGGGTGTGCATGTTCAAACGGAACCGTTGTGAGTCCTGCGTGTAGAGCTCGTCGTGGACACCGGCGCACGCCAGCAACGTAGAAGTATAACGGCCATGCACCCAGGGAAGCACCACGATGCAGATAGTCGAGGGCTTGTGGGATCAGGCGAACCGGAGTGGAGCCGATCGCAGGGCTCTGCGAGTCCGGCGGCGCCAAGAGAAAGGATGGCGGGGGCGGCGCGGCGTGAGGCGCAGGGGAAGTGAAAAGAGCAGACGCCTGGTGGAGAAGGTCGGCGACATAGAGGCGCTGGAAGGTTGCAGAAGTGTAGGCCTCTGGATGACCCAACAAGAAGTGGAGCATTTCCGGCATGCTTTTGTGCGTGCGTTTCTGGCAAGCAGATCGAATCATACGATGCAAGCGACGCGTGGGCCAAGGGCGGCAGTGGTTCGGACAAGGAGGCGATCTCAGCTTCCAAGGCTGCGTGGCCAGATTGAAGAACAGTCCACAGATTCGTCAGCTGAGGCTGAACCTTGCTGGAATAGTTGGTAACGTGGAAGGTAGTGGTGCGCAGGTTTGTCACCATGAACTGGAGATAGGTCGTGGGTGTGAGGTCCGTGTCTGGAGGAGGTGCGCGCAGGAGCAAACCAACATCGTGGTTGGACTTGGTGGCCACGAGCAGAGCAGCGTTGAGTTTACCCATGAAGGGGTGATGGCGCTCGGGCAGTAAGAGGCCACGGGAGGGGGGAAGCGTGCCGATGTCGCACCGAGCACGCAGAGCATGCCCGTGCACGCGGCGCCAGGCGCGAGCACGTTCGGGGCAGGCGGCCCAATGCCAAAACCCCAAGCGGCAGTAATGAATACGTCCCAAGAAACCCTTCCAACACGTGGCTGGGCGGCATTCGTGAAGGCCACATTGGACAACTGTGTGGCGTACGTCGTAGAGGAGCATGTTGGTCCAAGAGACGGCGGGCGGTGGCAAAGCCGCGTCTAAGTACGCGCGTGGCCACGACAAACACGGAGGCAAAGCCTGCGCCACATCGTCAAAAGGGTCGAACCAGGCCTCGGAAGAAGCCTGGACGGGAAGCAGACGAGCAGGGTCCGCAGCGTACCAGTGGGTTTGGGACAGGTGTAAGAAATCGGCCATGGCAGCACCCAGACTGGCGCGATGGGCGCGCGAGAACGGGAGCGGCTGCAAGTGGGACAAGGTGTGAGCAGTTTGCGGCATAGCCAAGATGTTGGGGAGGGCTTCGATGGAAGTGTGTTGGAGACTGGCAGCCCATTGAAGGAGAGCGGCGGAGAGTTCTGGGAGGTGGTCGGCAAAGCGGTGCAGCAGGGCCTGGGGCGACACGAAGCCTGTGAGGTGTAAAAGAAAATGGATAATATGTAGACTGCCGCGATTTTGCGGTTCCGTCACGCCGCAGTAGGCGGAAACGTGACCAAGAACACCCTCGAGAGGCGAATGGGACAGGTGCGCAAACGAAGGAAAAGAGCTAGGAGCTTGGCGGTGGGTCAGAAAGAGGACCACATGAACATGAAATGCGCGGGCAGCTGCGACCGGATCGGCGGCGAGTACGCGAGGCAAATCCACAGACTGCAGAGTGGAAAAGACGGCAGAATCGAGGCAAGGGATCGCAAAGTCCAAAGACGGTTCATCTGGCAAGCGCAGTTTGCAGGTGAGGGGACGCCGAGTATCGCAGGGTTTGAGCGTGACGAACAAGGCTGGGAAGCCATAATACACTCGCAGCGCTGTCAGCTCGTGGCGCATGGTGGTACGGGCGGCATCTGTGCAGGGCACGGAACCGGTGACGAGGCGCAAGGTCCGGAGCAGGTTTTTCATTGAGGCAGAAACATTGTGGCTCCGGAGTGCTTGTGGAACCCCACCCTGGGCACCAACAACGTCAAAGACCTGGCGAAAGTCGATGGAGCGGAGAGATTTGCAGGTCGTGCAAGGTATCACGGAAGGCCGGGGCGGACAGTTTCGCGCGGACCGCCCGCATGAGAGCCCGGCGGTGCAGCACGGCAAAACTGACGGCCATGAACGCATGGTCGAGGCGCCAGGGGAAAGCCGTGGGCGAGCGATCCATGCGAAGGAGCAACGCACGGGCCCACAGGCGGTCTTGAAAGTGGACGGGCCGCTGTGCCTGCTCGGTTGCTTCCCCAAATGGGAAGAGATGAGGAAAGCAGAGCGTCCAATAAGCTGGGTCGAAGGCGCTCAAAGGCGTGCTGCCATTGGGGAACCACAGCGCACAGGGGCGACGCAGCAGGCTGGCGCGACGGCGCAGTGGGAGGAGAATGCTCAAGCAAAGCAGCAGCAGCGTCGGGCACGCCAGAGACAGAGCTGGAGGAAAGGACAGCGTCAGCAAACGCGAGCGACTGCACGGCATCATCGGCGGCAGTCAAGGCTGCCAGAGTGTGAGGGGGTGGGTTGACTCCCCCTCAACGTCTAACACAGCAGCGGAGAGAGAGTGCAGTGTGCCGGGAGTGGAAGCAGATGGAAGGCCGGCATCCATGGTGGCCTGGGCGGGGCCAGCGTCAGGGCCGAGGAGGCCATCTGGCAAGGGTTGAGCAGTGCGTAGCAGGACGTCCGGCACGCCCTCAATGGGTAACTCTGCGAGGGTCTTGGGGTCTAAGACCACATCCGCGTAGTAGGGGTTGTGAGTATGGAGCCACTCGAGCCCAGCTTGCACGCGCGCACGGCGGACGAGGAACTCAGGACAGGTGCGGAGAGCCGTCACGCCTTCGGGCGGAAAGAAGACATGAAGGAATTCAGGCAAGGCAGCCGGCGAGTGAGGCAGTGAACGGACGACGCCGGCAGAATCTTGCGGAAAGCTAACCACATTGCCAAACAAAGCACGTTGTCGCGCCTCGGGAGGGCCGCGCGCGGGCAAAGCGCGCAAGCGACAGAGGGTGTGGCCGCGAGCGAGGAACATGAGCTCTGCGGGCGTGAGGTCACGCAAAGAGGTGGGCAAGGGGATATGAAGGTTGTCATTGGCCAGCGCGCGGCCTGGCAGAGTGCACCGCGGCAATTGGAGGGCGTCGCAGCAATGCGAACAAAGGTGCGCCAGAAGAGGGGACGTGGAGGAAGTGGCAGCAGCTTGCCAAGAAGTTTTGGCCTCTGGTGTACGCAGATAGAGGAGCCAACGATCTGGAGATGCAGACGCGGGCTGCGAGACGACATCGGTCGGCACCGGCACCGAGTGGCTGTCCAAGTCGGACATAGAGAGGCCGACAAAAGTAGAAGGCAAAGCTTCTGGCAGGCGACTCCGATAGCGCTGCAAGTACGCCGCGGCGGAAAGAAGATGATGCAGAGACGGCAAATGAAAAAGAGGGGAGCGGAGGTCACGCACCTGGCATGGATCATCCGGCAGCGTGGTGCAGACGGCACAGGGCACAGGAGGAGCAGCGAGAACAGAAACCAAGGCGGGTCGGTAGCGTGCAAGAACCGCGCGGAGGACGCGCGGGTCGGCCGGTCGCGGAAAAGCTTGGCCAAGCGCATGTCTGAGGAGGGTGGGATAGGAGGCGGGTGTGCACTGGTGCACAGAAGCCAAGTGCAAGTCAAAGGAGGGGAGGCAGTTGAAGGAAGCCACGCAGAAGCGGCAAACCCAAGGCGAGGACGGCTCAGGCGGGGCCAAGGGAGCGAGAGCCCGCGAGTCGTCCTGAGCGAAAATGTGCGGCGAGAGAGCCGCAGGCGCGGACGCGGAGGAGTGATTCGCGGGATCAAAGGCAGGCCCACAGGAACCGAAGCCACAGCCCAACGAGCGCAGAACTGCTGCCACGGAGCCGTGGCCTCACTTTCAGGGGCGAGACACTGCAAGGGTGCAAGGGCCAAAGCTGCGTCCACAGCAGAGGTTGCCAGGACGGCGCAAGACTGACGCCGGAAAGTCAAAGAGAAGGGCGGCGTAGCAGCTCTGGCGTGAAATTGCGCCTGCAAAGCATGCCAAAGACGAGTAAAGCAGGGCAAGGGCAAGGAGTTGTTTTGAATGCAAGGGCAGGCAGCCAGAGCAGAGAGCAAAGCTTCGATAGACGCCTGCGCAAAAGCAGGAGAAAGCGCAAAGACGCGGCCGCGGTAGCGGACGGCGGGAAAACGGCGGTCGCCCAGAAGGAGCGCTTCACGGAAGAAGGTA